TTTAATATCACAGCCCCACAATGTCATGCTTATTCTGCAAGATGATCCAAATGTCATATAAAATATAGTGTGAGACCTTTTCTTCGTTTCACAGTCTGTTTAGTTTGCAGAAGAGAGCATGTGTTTTTTTCAACCACATGGAGATCCTGCCTGCAAAACTCTCAAGATATTAACTTCATTCATTCATTCATTCATTCTATACAAATGTGCTGATACTTTGCTGGTATCTCAGAATCCAGCCCCTGCCCTCAGTGCAGACATTGATTTTACGTAGGAGAGAGAAGACAATTTACACCCTGGAGGAAGAGGTTAAGAGTGGAAATCTCAGATACTTTGAAAGAAAGGGCCAAAGAATGGAAAGAAACAATCAGACTTGCATCTTAGATGTTCGGAGTGTGAAAAAATCCAGAGAAACGGAAGGTAGGCTTGGCCCTTCATCCAAAAATGCTAAAGACAGGGCAGATCTCCCAGCTGGGAGGCTTTCAAAGACAGCGGTTCTGCGAGGATTAAGTGAGATCAGTGGGAGAACCGACCATTAGGTCGGTGGAGAGTGCGCACCACTAAATGTTACTGCCGGTCTTGCCTTGTCAGATTCTTCGAGCCCTGCCCGCCCCGGGCGCCCAACCCATCTCCTTCGCTCCTTCAACCAACAGATACTAATGTTGCCGGAATCCTGGGTGCCCCGCACTGTGCTGGAGGCCGAAGAGCCCGCTCCTTTCTCGGGGACTCCAAAACCTCTTGTTCCTGCTCGGTGTCTCCAGACACCAGTCCCACAGGCAGTCGCCCCCTTCTCCTCCCGACCCGGATCCCACTCACTGTTACCCCGAGCTGGGGTGCTCCTCACTCGCTAGGGACCCACTTCCTACTGAAGGGGATCTGGAGCTCCCCGCCGCGCCCAGCCACTGCCGGCTGAGAGAGCCCAAACCGCCCCACCCCGAGAAGGCCACCTGGTCGGGTGAAAACTTGGCGCCCGGGCCCTTCAACCCCCAAGGCGCAGGGGTAGAGTTTTCGAGGCGAGGCCGGAGGCGGGGTGGGGGGTTGCGGAGGGAGGAGAGAAGACGTCCCCAGGGGCTCTGACCCCCAGGCTCGGGCGGGGTCTAGTATTCGGAGGTCTTACCCGGGCATGAGGCCAGGAGGCGCGTAGGCGGCATTGAACTCGGTCAGTAGGGTGCCTGCGCTGCGGAAGGCCATGGTGGCGTCAGGGAGCGCGCAGCGAGCCCAGGGTGCTCCTACACCACGGTCAATAGCCCGGGTCACCAGGCAACCGTGAGCCTGGCAACGCCCGGGGCGGGGGGGGGGCCGTTCCTGGACCACTCTCCCCCTCGCTGTTCCCTTACTGGAGCAGCACCGTGGGGCGCGCCCAGAAGATGCCCCCATCTCCACCTGCTCTCCTGTGTGAACCCACAAATCGCTGCTCCTACTCAAGCCTCCACTTTCGCATCATTGGGCGCATCTCAGAGCTTCACTGCTGGCCCAAATTGTTGATGCTGGGATGAGGGACGGATGTGGAAACGGTGGGGGAGTCCCGGGCGGATGCACTCTAAGTGTCCTTCTGTCAGCTGCAGGACTCACGGTGACCTGGCTTGGGACGCCCTGGCTTTGCAGGCGGCACACAAAGCAGTGGCCCCAGCGCAGCTCAGCTCCAACGCCGGAGTGGCTGCAGGGCCCTCAAGAGCCATTGCTGGCCAACGGTGCCCGCTGTGCCCCAGTTCAGCGGGGCTTCCGGGAGGGGGCTTGGCCATGTGTACCGCTTTGCATGTTTGCCAGGAAGCACCGAAGTGTGTGTGTGTGTACTGAGAGACATTTTTCTCCTTAATCTCTCCTCTCTCCCTAGGAACTGTCTTCTCACCTCTTCTCGACTCTCAAACTACTTCCACAAATGTGGTTCATAAGTAAGTGGCAAAAAGCCAGTCGGAAAATGTCTGGTGTGCGATTTACAATTGTCGGGGTTACAGTTCAGTTCTTCCTGTGACTCTAGGCCTGGGTGTTTGCCTCAGAAAGCAAACTGGCCCAGGTGAGGCTTCTTTGTTGTAATGCCTCCCTCCTGTACTGGTGCCCCCCACATCCGGATTTCTCCAGTGACCCTCACATGGCCTTGGGGCATATGCAGGACAGGGCAGGGCTTGAGGTCTTTAACTAGGGGTGCGAGGGTAAGGGTATGGTGACAGCCTCCAAGTCCCATGTTCTTTGTGTCTTGCCCCGCCATCTACTCCCTAGCCCCCCCTGCAGCGGTCCTGGGGTCCACCAGCACGTCTGCAGTTTAGCCTTGTCCTTCCCAGTCTTAGAGAGACGTTATCTTCACAGTTTGTCAGCAGCAGCTGATGGAGACCACAGATGCTAATGAGCTCCCAGTATGCTGTTGCAACCAGAATTCTCAAAAGGCTCTCTCTGACAGAAAATAATGGGACTGAGGGAGCCACAGGCTTCCAAGAGGTGCAAGAATAGGAAAACTGAGGCCCCAGGGAGGAAAAGGAGTTGCAAGGGAATGAGCGGTTGCAAACCAGGTGGAAGGACTCACCCATCCTTCAAAATGCAGCCACCCCTGTGGACTTCCAGATTCTCTATGTTGAACGTGGGCTCCAGTAAGAACAACTACAATAAAAGTTGTAAAAGAACAGTTTTAGTTCAGTTCAGGGGTACCATACTCCAGGAAGGTGGTCCTAACACCTCCCCTAGACAAGATCCAGTGCCCACTCCCTTCCCCCCATTCATGGCTTCCAAGCTGACTCTGCCCACAGACCCTTCACCCTGGGCTCTCTATGTCTGTGTTCTAGTCCCTTTGTATCTTCTGCTCCAGCTCTAGTGCTGTGTCATACTCATCCCTGGGGCCCCAGCACCTGGTGCTAGAAGGACTTCAGTACCCGCTCATTGCATAACTTTTATACTGAGTTGCTGAAATGGCTAGTAGTCAGGAGAGTGGAAATGAAAAAGTGGGCTCTGGTTCAGGTTCCATAGGGTCAGCAGCTCAGCTAAGGGGTGCTCTGTGTCGGCAGGGTGGAATTGCTACATCTTTATAGATAAGGTAACTGAGGTTCAGCAAAGTTCCAGGCCTTCCTCAGGGCAAGTTCAGGGGCTTTTTCCTAAAGATGCACATGTCCGCAGGAAGCCTGATGACGCTCACCCTCTTCATGAGAGAACCTCTACAGGGCCTAGGGAGGAGATGGATTTTTTTTCCCTGTAAAGTACCACCAAGTCTTACAAGGATCACCTGATGGCCTTACAACTGGAACACGCTAGTGAATTTCATTCTTAAAAAAGGAGACATTAAGCACCTGTTTTTAAAAATTAAACATTCACTTGTATTGCATAAATACAATAGTCTAAAATATCCTTCGATCCAATAAGGCTAGATAAAAGTGGAAAAGGCAAAGGAATTGAGGAAGGAAAGAGAGAGAAGGCGGTAGAATGTAAAAAGAAAAAGAATAGGGCAGGGTAGCAAGGAAACATCTAGAAGGAAGGATGGAGGCCCTCAGGTCTATTAATCCTGCAGTTCACTTAGACCGTAAAATTCAAAGGGAGAAACCCCTTGTTGGCACGCTGTAAAAATTTAATATTCCTTTTTTTCTTAATCTTTAGACTCTGTTCAGATAGGTCACTAAACGCACTCTTTTATCCTGTCAACATTCATTGGATATTCTACTAGCCACAGGAGACCGTGCCAGGCTCTGGGGACGCAAAGATGCAGCTCTCCTGGGTATCCCAGTCAGGGTGGGAAGGAGGTAAGTGGAGCAGCCCAATGAAGCAGTGAGGGAGAGTGGGGCGAGGAGCTGGGGCAGCACAAATGAGGACAGGACCCAGCCAGGGTGTGGGGCTGGTACAGAGCACTCCCAGGAATAGGCACCAGTCAAGCTGGATGAGAAGGGAGGGATGGGGTAGGGGCAGTCTGAGCAGAGCAAATAGCAAGAGCAAGGGTGCAGAGGCTCCAGGCTTGGGATCCAAGCCCCTAGGCTCCCTTCCACATGAGTCCCTTGGGATATGCTGCTGGGAGAAAGGAGGGGTGGTTCTCCTTTGGTTCTTGGAAATTCTGCCGCAGACATCCATTCTCCCACCCCTCACAGCGGACAGATCTGCTCCAACACATCCCACCACCCTCAGCCTTCTTCAACCCCAGTCCCTAGGATTGGGCTGAGTTAGTGCCCTGGACTAGGAGAACTGCCCTTAGAACATAAGCCTTTGAGGCCTTGGCAGTCAGACATCTCCAGTCACGCTTAGCCTGGCTCCTAAGCACCCCTCAAGCATCACTCCATCCTCCCAGACCCCAGAGGTCAGGACCTCTTGTGGGCACAGTCTCCATGAGAGCATATAGGGAAGTACGTTCCTTTTCCCTCTTGGGGCTTCTGTTTCTCAAGGACCGGCCACCAGGCACAGCCTTGCTGTCTGGTGATGCTGCTTTTGCAGCACAGTGTGACCCATCCAGAGCAGCCAAGCCTGCCCCATCCAGGCCCCTGAGCCTTGTGGGCACCAGCAGCCCTGCTGGCCAACTTGACGGGGGAGGGGGAGGTGGCATGGATCACCCACACACTCGAGTGCAAAAGCCCAGCTTCCTGTGCACATAGTTCCTTCTCCCCCAGGGGAGGGGGGTCCGGCCCCACCCCCCCCACCACGCTCATGCCCACTCCCATCTGCCAGCTCCTGGGGGCAGAAGAGCTTGCCTGGCGGGGCAGGTGCAGCAGAGCCCTGGTTGAGGGGTGGACAAGCAGCTCTGCTCCAGGAGCTGCGAGAAGACACCTGAAGCTGGGCAGGGCTTTATCTGGGAGCTAGCGGCTGCTGAATAATGAATTCCGACTCTATCTGCACTGCTAGGCTGCACACAGGGCACGGCGTGCACACACACACACACACACACACACACACACATGAGACACACACGCTGGGCTGACAACTTGGAGGGGCGGGGGCTGGCAGGGCTGTGAGTCTCTGTGAGTAGCTGGAAGGAGCAGCTTGGCTTGGTTGCCTTGGTCTCTGTGGGCAGCATCGCAGGGGAGAGAAGGAGGAGGAGGAGGAGGAGGCAGCGGAGAGGAGGGAGGCGTGTGCGCCGCCGAGCCGCGCTCCATCCCCAGAGCTCGCTCCTTCCCCAGCTCGGCTGCTCCCGCCTGGTAGTGCCCAGGCTCCCCACGCCAGCATGGCCCTGCTCGTCCACCTCAAGACGGTCTTGGAGCTGCGGGGCAGAGGCGACCGGATCGCCAAAGTGACTTTCCGAGGTAGGGAAGGCCTTGACTTATGGGGACCCCAGCTCTGGGCTGACGGGATAGGGCAGGGAGGGGAGGATGGACTGGAAAAGTTCTAGTAGGGTTAGGGCAATAAGGCTTCTCGGGAGCAGCCAGCCAGCCCCCCGTGGCCTGACTAGCCATCGTGATTTCTTGAAAATCAGGGTCCCCCATGTTTCCACGTCTGCATGTCTGTCTCTCCCTGCACTTGCCAGTGTGCCAATGCCTTGGTGGGGGGTGGAGCCCTCCACTTGCAGGAGGTCCTGGGAAGGCAAAAGTGAGGACCCCACTCCTGGGCTGAGGGGCACTCAGCACTGAGGGGCCCAGCGCTGCAGAGTCTCTCCCTCCCCTTCTTCCTCTCCCTCCTGCAGAGAGTGGGGGTAGGGTTTACATCCTAGAAGACCCCGGAAGCTCCCAGAAACCAGCATGATGGGGATACCATTGGCTTCTCACAGGTCTCTCTGTGGGCAGGGATCCTGAGAACCCCACCAGCCTCCCTCTCTGCCGGTTCTTTTCCTCCTGTCCTCCCACACAGCCAGTGACCATTTAGCATGATTTGTGTGCCAAGGCTGGGGACTGGGCATGACCCAGGCCCTGCCCTCAATGAGCCCACATCTGATGGGGTAGGAGGACCAGTGGGCAGACAACAGTACAGGTATGTGATACGGTGAAGATGGGGATGAGGGTAGTGTGTGAGCTCCAGAAGCAGCACCCTGACCTAGGCTGGGGGAAGGGTGGTCAGGGAAGGCTTCCAGGAGGAGGTGACACCTCAACTGAAACCCAAGGAACCAGCAGGAGAGAGCAAGGCGAGGAGGTAAGGACAGAGCAGGCAGAAGGGACAGGATGCTCAAGGCCAGGAGAGGAGCTGGAACATGGAAACAGAGGCTCCATGGGGCTGGTGCGAGAATTGAGGCAGGAGAGATGGGCAGAGCCCAGGAGGCAAAGCCACCCTCACCCGGAGGACCGTGGGCAGTCCCTGAAGGTTTTTAAGCAGGGAAAGACAAGGCCAGGATTACTTCTGCTTTTTACCCACCCACCTCTGCCTCTGCCTGGCTACAGCTCAGCCCCCTGGGCCATGGGCATCTCTGGCAGCCTTTGAGCAAAGGCTAGGGTCCTCCTCACTAGACCCCCTTTCTCCCCAGAGAGGGGTCTGAGGGTCAGGGTGGGGTGGGAGAGTAGGGAGGAGGAAGGAGCAGAGAGAACCCACTAGATTGAAAAGGCAAATGAGCATCGAGGCCCAGGCTGGACACACATCTGCACCTGCATCAGGAGGGAGAGGTGAGACCCAGGGTCAGCCTTATCAGGACTTCTCCAGCAGTGCCCCCAGGCCCCCACATCACCCTCCAGTCTGGCCAGCTCCGGGCATGGGTCCCTGGCTTGTCTACGCTGCGGCCTGTTGTACATAGGGAAGGGCAGAGGCTGGGGGTTCGCAGAGTCCCTGCCGGCAGGAAGGAAAGGAAGGGCTGGCCAGGCTGCCTGTTGCTTCCCACACCAGCCCAGACTGCCTTCTCTGCAGCACCCTGGGTCTCCGCATCTCAGCGTGACACCTGCTGGCTCGCGCTGGCTTTAGAGAAAGGAAGTGTGTCCTTTCATCAGTGACATGTGTTCCAGTGTTGGACAGACAGCACAGCATTTGGCTCTTTAGCTACAGGTCGCTGTGTGGTTGCAGCTATGGCAGGACAATCCAAGGCTGCACAAACCAATCCCATTCGCAGGCAGAGAAAGCAAGGCTGGGTCTTAAAGGGATCTGCATGGCATTGGTGGAGGGACCAAGGCACGGTGGCCCCAGCTCACAAGACCTCACCCCCAGTCCTGGTTCCTCCACCCTGAAAGCCTTTTTATCCCCTCCTGGTCAAGGGGGTGAGCACTTAATCTACCTGAAGCCCACCTTTTTCTTTGAGCAGTGGGGCTGGTCCTCCAGCCTCAGTGGACCACACAGGAATTAGACTATTTGCAACCCATGCCCTCTGGACTGAGTGGAGAAATCCACTTCCAAGCTCCTCAGCGGCAGCAGGCGGCCACAGGCAGAGCTCCTGGGGAAGGGGGTTGGGTAGCAGAAACAGGCAGATGGCAAACAGGTTTCCAGAACCAGAGAAGCCCTGGCCATTCACCTGCTGCAGCCAGCAGTTGACAACTCTAGATGCCGCAAAAGACCAACACTAACTACAATTCAGAAGGAACTGACTCATTCTAGAATGTTCCACAGTGTCTCCTGACACATACAACTACTGGTGTCCAAGCAAATATACCCTGCAGGCAGAAATGAGAAGCTGGTGAACAATCAGAGGGAGATGCTGGCCCTGAGCGTCCCAGATCCCTTGAGTGAAACTCAGTGCCAGGTTGGGTGAGGGACTTCTAGGTGAGTTGTGCGTGGCCCAGGTAGACCAGTCTAACTGATTGCCTTTCTGTGCTGTGCCACCTGGGACACTTAGGAAAGAGCCTTCTGGGGCTGTGGTGGAAAAATCTGCAGATATGGCATCAGAAATCCTGGGTCCTACCAGGGTTCTGTCACTTACTTCACCTCTCTGACCCTCAGTTTCCTCATCTGTAAAGTGGGCATGATGTTAAGACCCACCTCACCAGGTTGCTTCAGTGAAGCAATAGGTACGGGAGAGTTTGAGGAAAGAGCATGGAAACAATCGATGTGTTTGTGAGGTGGCTGCTCCACTGCCACTTGGGGCAGCTGCTGGCTTCTGAGTCATCTTCTCTCGAGCCCAACTTCCTTCTGTCAGCCAGGAGTGATTAGAGAGGGCACCATGTGAGCTATAAATAGGGGAGGAGAGCACATCTGAGTGGTTCCCAACCTGTGGCAAGAAACTGGCCTGGCCCCTGCTCTGTAGGGCCCCCAGCTGAGATGTTCCACAGGAACCCGGGCCTGGGGCAGACCACCCCGGAGGCCCCCGTTCCCACGTGGGCCAGGCATGAACCAGCTTTGTCCCTGGCCACCCCTCTTTTCCCATCACCCAGGTCAGCTGGCCATCTTACTACCCTCAGGCGCACTCCTCATGCACCACCCAGCTCCATCTGTAGCTCGTGGCTCTTACTACCCCAACCACCACTCTTAATCTGGTCCTGCCCTTATTGCTTCACTCACTGAATGCGCTGATGTTTGTGACCAGGCCGGGAATCAGGCTGGGAATGAAGAAGACACAGGCCCTGCCCTGCTGAGTTGTAGTCCATTGAGTCAGACAGGAGGTACCAGAAGGTCTGGGCCTCAGTTCTCATCACGCATGTAGACCACAGAGCCTCAGGGCCTCCATGTCCCAGAAGCAAGATGGAGCCCATGGTCCGCATCTAACTCAGAGGTCTGCAGCCAGGATCAGGGGTGGGCTGCCTGGGGAGGAGCCATCTTGACTACAGGTCACTACTCAAAAGGAGGCAGTATTAGCTGAAGGTTTGCCCTTTTTCAACTCCCAAAGTAATTCCCAGCATCAGTCATAGAGCCGTGGAAGGGCCTCTAAATTTCTTTAGTCCAACCATCTGCCCAGTTCTCAGCCCGGTCCAAACCCTCAGGCATGGGTCCCTGGGCTGTCAGAGAACGAAGTGACAGACTGCCTGGAGCCAGCCTCATGATCTTTTTCTCTCCATCCCTGAGCTTTCAAAAGCTGGGACTGGGGATTTTGATGAGTGAGATGGGTAATCTCTGGAGGCTGGATCCTATCTCCACGTAATTCACCTGACCTGGTAACTGGCACAGAGGTATACATTATCAATCCTTTTGACTTTTCTTCCTTATCCCTCTCCCCACCCCACCCCACTGCGTTCCCACTACACTGAACTTTCTGCCATTCCTCCAAGATGCCAAGGGTTCTATGTCTCCAAGCCTCGAGACATCGTATTTCTTCTGCTGCCTCCACCTTGAGAACTTCCATTGATTCTGTGCATCCTTCAGGGCCCAGCTCAGCCATCACCTCCTCCACGAAGCCCTCCTCCTCCCTTGCAGTACTGTGTACGTGCTCCTCCCACAGCTCACCTAGGGTGCTTTGCGGTTCAGAAACTGCCCCAGTTTGCATGCTGCACTAACTTCAAACACCTTCAAGACAGGGAACTGATCCTAGTTCTTCTAATTGAGTCATCTGCTGAGCACTGAGCTTGGTCATCACAATGAATACGAAACAGTATGTCTTTGAGGTATTCACTTCCTAGTGGGTTTGAACTCTTCTTCCTCTGTGGCACTGACACTCTTTGGCTCAGTATCCTCAACTATGAACTGCCCCCGCCTCCAGCTGCCTATCCAAGGGGGATCAGGGAGCCAAACACCCACATAAATTAATTCAATATAGATCATAAACTGAACATTTGAAAAAATACTGTAAGCTTCTAGAAGAAACTATAGAATATTTTTATTATATTCTTGGGCTAGGCAAAGATTTCTTAAATGCTTCACTAAACATAAATCAATTTCACCAAAAATTGACAAATTGGATTTCTTAAATACCAAAAACTCCTACTCATCAAAAACACATTTTAAAATGTAATGAGAAAGAATCAGATGAAAATATTCACAAGACATTTAAGGATGAGTAGCCAGAATATATAAGGAACCCTGACAAATCCATAAGAAAATGACAAATGACCATATTTTTTAAATAGTCAAGAGACTTAAACAGATATTTCAAAAAGTGAAATATAGAAATGGCCAATAAACACATGAAAGTGTGATCAACATCATTAGTCATCAGAGAAATGATACTCAAAACCAAAATAAGACATGATTTCACATGCACTAAAATGTAAAAGTCTAACAATGCCCAAATCTGGTGAGGATGAGGAACAATTACTTTTTTTTTTTTACACCGTGGATGGGATTGTAAAATGGTATAATCACTTTGGAAAACTGTTTAGCAGTTTCTTATAAAGTTAAACACATACCTGCACTCTGACCCAGTGATTCTGCTCTGGGATACTTCCCCAGGAGAAATGAAATGGTAGGTCCACAAAAATACTTTTGCAAGAATGTTCCCAAAGAGTATCTTTTACTCACAAGAGCCCAA